AAAATTAAAAACAACATTTTTACAATATTTTATATCCTATACTATCTGTTGCAAAGATGCAGATACATTTACAGATTACATATAAAATGTTAGTGCTTATATATAATTTTAGATATATATCTACAACAAATATTTTTTATATATAGGCAAAGATTTCGAAATACCTTATTAAACCTTATATCGAAGCAAATTTTTCCACCTTCTCAACCGCTAGCTAGTGCTAATTACTCTGAAATAAAAACGGAATAAAATATAAATATCTCAGACACAATATATGTTTGTTTGTATATGATATATTTTAGTTTTGCTTTTCTGCACGCGATGTTTACACTAGCTGTCGCCTAGGCCCAGATACATTTGTATCTTTTCGTGGTGCGCGCTCAAAAATGCTGTTACGTATGTGTTGGCGATTTTGTTTATGATATGTTGTCATACGCTGAACTGTGGGGCGTTTCACTATAATGTATACACGATGTATATTAAAATTTGTATTTGGATTTATAAGCTTATTTACAGGGTATCCGTTAGTCGAGCACTAGAGCTCAATTGCAAATTCCTTCTTTTGCGTTTCATTTCATTTGGCCGCAAAATGTGCGTCGCACGCCTTTGTTCCGCCGTCGCCGTCGCTGCCCACGCTTTGGGCAGGTGTCGGCGTTTGTATCGTTGAGATACATTTGCTAGATGTATTAGATACATTTGTTATTTGTATTCTTTGCAGCATTCGCAAAAGCGAAAGTGCATTCCCAAACAGTAATGTGATTCGCAGCCATAAAAATATACAAATATATATAGGTATATATATACATTAATACATATAGCTTGTTCTGGCAGGCAGCGAACCGTAGCTCTTAAAATACGCTTATCAGCTCAGGGCTAACTCTAGCAGCCAGATTATCGCCTAGTGGTCAATAAGATTGTACTTTAGCTGTTGGTTAAGAATTAAAGTGCACAATTTTTTTGGTAATTCCCATTGGTTACGCTTAGCTAGAATTTTCTTTTATTTATTGATATTCGAAAGTCTTGCGGGTGCTCTCAGGTTTCCAATTCGTCTGTTTTTTATCGCTGTTTATTCAGTCTGCCGCACATCTGTAATATACATTTGTGTAACTCGATGCGCCGCCTACTCCGTGATGACGCATTCTATAGCTCGTTTCACCATGGCTTAAGAATTAACGCTCGGATTTATAGTGTAGTCAAAGTGAAGTACGTTTCTGGATCTCTTCAACAGAATCTTGAGATGGATTTAATTTCTTGTAACGATAATCAAATAAAATTTGTTCTAATTTGTTAATTGGCTTATTTCGAGTTAAATCTAGATCTTAGTTGTGATTAAACTTGTTCAGCTTGTCAAGCATAGGAAGTGAGACAAATGTTGGCTTATAACTGACACGAGCTTACGTTTTAGAGTTTCATTCAATTTTATTTAAATTTACTATAATATTATTACTATAATCTTATTGAACATTGATATTACTAAGAGTTTCTACAGTCTAATTTCTAGTAAGAAATTCCCAAGCGTGTCATTTATAATATTGTCTAAAGATATTCCAGTTCGTCTAATTTTATACCACTATCTAAAAATAATATTTCATATAAAATGTATATCTTTTAAGCCATAAGAGTTTGCAATAATCCACCAACATCAAGATATTAGTCCTTGTCGTAAACCTTGTTGGCATTTTGCCAATCTTCAACTGGATTAGTTTTATCTGTCAGCCGCACAACCCTGTGGTCTGTAACGCCTTGACTCTTCCGTCTTCAGTCTGCGTTCTTCGGTCCGCAGTCTTCTGTTTGTCATTTTATAATTTCATAGTCACTTGTTTGCTGCATTGCCAGTTGAGTGTGAAAAGCAGATGCGCGAATTCATAATCATAATCATAATTATAAATGATGCATTCTCGATCGTGCGTTTTCCAAATATGTATATATAACATTCATTCTATATTAAGCTGAGCCCCAGTTGGTCTTATCGCAGGCGTCTCTTATCACGTGCTGTAGTTTTCCACTTGTTGTTCCTTGCTGTGGAAAATTTTTTTTGTTGCCACAGATTATGGGACATGCAACACGAGTTTGTTGATTAGAGCGGCGGGCGTAGGCAGAAAGCAGACAGAAGCAGACGGAGACTGTGCTCAGAGTCTATGAGATTTTTGCTTGTTGTATTTGTTTTTTCGGTTGGCTGGCCGTGACATTGACACAGTAAGATTTCGTTTATCGAAATTGATTTCTATTCATTTATGCGCATTGCACAATTGATGAGCAACAACGATTTCAAATGCGTTGACTCCCCAATCCGCTAAAATATATTATTTATATTTTTATTTATTACAAAAAAGAAATCCAACGCAAAACGAATGCCTCACCTTCATGGCCCGATGCAATTGGACAAAAATGCCCTAGACCCAGACCCAGACCCAGAGCCATAGCCATAGCCATAGCCAGAGTCATAGCCCGAGCCAGAGCCAGAGCCAGACAGAAATCCATTGAGAGATATGAGACGTGCTCATAGCTCCCCCGGTTTTTCAAGCGTGAACTTCACTTCGGCTTAGTTCACTTCACTTCTCTCAGTCGGCAATGTAAGCGCCTTGAGACTGACCGGTTGTGGTCAGTCTCAGCTGCGCACTGAACGCACACAAGGTTAAATTCGTATATACATACATAAACACATATACATACATGAGTATTTTGCGGAGCTTTATTCAAATTGCTCGTTTCCTATAGAGGAATCTGCTTCTTTTTTTTTTTTTTTTTTTTTTTTTTTTTTTTTTGCGAGCTATGGCTTTGTAGAAGAAGTGGCCACTTGAGTCACGCTTACAAGTTTAAAGACCCTCGAAGAATTGGCAATACAAAACACTCGAAATTTTGATACGCACATAAATGCATAGATAATGTGTTAACGCCCTGCACTTGAGTGTGTGCAATATTAATTGTATCTAATCTCTGCTTAAGCATTGTTACCAAACCAATGTTTAAGTAACGGATCAATCAATATTACCTTATCGAACTCTAGGCACTCACAGTTTATTCTTTACAAGCAGTCTGTCTTGCAACATCCAAAAGTTATTTATATTTTAAGTGCTCTAGAGTTGAGCTAGATGAGATTACAGCCAGAAGGTAGACAGTAAAACAAAAGTAAAAGAGAGAATCTCTATTCCAGCTCTCTTATGTCATTAAGTTGTGCTAAAAATAAAACAAGTTGCAAAATTTAATATTCATCAATATTTAAGGGAAAAGGAAGAAAACGAAACAGATTTGAGTAAACTTGTTTTGCATAGTTTAACCTACTTATCGAATATACATATTAATATAAATATAAATTAAATGCGTTTAAATATATTTTGTAGTACGTGTATTGAAAAAGGGCTCAAGGTATTAATAGATTTCTCAGCTCTGTTATGATTGACCTACTTATTGCGACGACAGCACAAACTGCCCATCGTTCCGAGTAAACTAGAAGCAATTATGGCCCTACTGTGATCTGTTATTAAATGTGAATTGATGTGAGAATCGTAAACACAGGCACGCATACACAGACACAGACACAGACACAGTCACCGACACAGATAGTCACTCACACTTGAGCCCAAGCCAGCCAGGCGTTAAACTATAACAGAACCGACAGTTTACAGTTTACAGTTTACAGGCCCCAGTTGTAGTAGATGAATGCAATTAGAGAGCTTTATAATTGCATTCTAGCTGCGCCCACAGCTAGATAGTTATTCCATTAATGCCATTGTTCTAGCGATTGCTACACCTGTAACGGGGCACTTTCGATTTCGCTGAGGCGTGCCACCTGCTCCGCCCATTAACTTGTCCAAATCGGCGGCGTCATCGTGCCGCGTTTTCATTGATGTCTATGAGAAATATCTTTTTTTTTTTTTTTATTATTATATATACATATTTTTTCGTTTTGTATTTGTGGCAAGTGTATGTGTGTGAGTGTTGCGCTGTTGTTGTCGTAGGTTGGGCCATTGTTCTGATGTCATAAATTTTTCTAATTTGCTAATTTGCATTATTAGCAGTTGTTTTTCCACTTAGCACAGCGAAGTGCTTAAGGTATATGTATTCCGTAGAGCAGCTGAAGAGCCTAATTTGCTTCTGTTTAAATCTTGATTATGATAGCTTTGTGCTTCTAATGAGGAACTGTGCCTAAAAATGTTTTGACATGCTCGAGCAGCTTCGTGATACTTGAATTTGATATGTTAATTAGACTTGGCCACTTAATATATTCACAGCTGATCGATGAGCACAGATATTTATATCGACTCAGCTTAGTAAATTCTGGAATATGTTGTGCTTAATCTTACATATATTTTTTTTGTGTATTTATTTTGAATAACCTTGTAACATAATCGAGTGATTAGCATAAGTTATGCCAGATGTTGAACTCGGTATAGATCACTTGAATCAGATGAGAAAAATGTCAATAAATAGATCACTTATGTTGATCAGGCTTGTTGCTGATCCAATAAAGTGAAGACTCTCTATCTATGAAACAGCATATGGAGCAGGTGATCAACTGAATCGCTATAGCCGATTGCTGTTGATCTGCCTTAGCACAATTACAACTCATTCTCATAACAAACACGCCCTATACACCACATGCGACGTCGCGTCGTCCCGGGGCTGCCCTAAGCCTCTCGCAAACCCGATAATTGTCGTACATTGCATGTGCTTAGAGACTCACTCGCTCAGATATCTATATTTATATATATTGTATATATATACATGTTCAAGCTGCGATATCATCGTCGCGTTGTCGCTGACGTTGCAGCCGACCGACAATGGCCTGCTAATTACGGCGCTAATGCCGGTTCAATGGAGTTCATCGAAAGTAAAAGTTTAACTAGCAATAGAGAGATTGAAAGAGAGAGAGAGAGAGAAAGACAAAGTGTATGTGTCAGAAAGAGATAGAATAGAGTTAGTTCTCTATTCTGTAGTCAACTGCCACGCCTCGTTGGCACATCTCATGCACAATCGATTAATGAACGTCATATTTGCAGTGCTTAACGGTTAACTGAGTTGAAGGATCGATTAGCAGCACGATGAGCATCATCGATAACGGTAAATATCGCCTGCGCAAGGATTGGGCCAGCGCCTCCATACCATCATTGGTCAACATCGATGAGCACGTGGACGGCGGCGATGGCGGTGGCGGAGAGGCAGCTAACAATAATATGAATATGACAGCTCCACTGCCACCACAGAAACCACCGCGTCGCAGCTCCCTGGCCCTGGGCCTCTTCTCCAGCAAGTCGGACAAGAGTCAAAAGCGACGCAGCTCCATCGCTGTCTCGTTTCTGCGACGTGATAGCAATAAGGTAAGCCACAGGGCCTTAACATTACAATCTCTATTGCATTCGAGCTTATGCCTGGAACTTATGTTTGTTCTTTCGTACTTGCAGAACTCTACCAAAGACTCCTATGAATCGGCTGTGCGCAGTGAGAAATCTGATGGCTCTGCCACGCCCACAAACAGTCCCGAGCTCGTCTATAGCTCGGAGGAGAACATACGTGCCAGCTCACCGAACGAGCCTGGTAAATTGACCTATTTCGAGGATGGAACACAATCCCGTGCCATTGTACAGGGCATGAATCCGTATGATACGCCCAATGATCGACAACGGCGACGTCGCAGCTCGCTGCAGACGAAATTGGATAGGCACAGACGCAAGAAGATGGACTACATCAATCAACGGAGCCTGGACTCCAATATGACATACAGTGAATCGCAAAGCGATCTGACCAATGATAGTATGGGGGCCAATGGCGCCAATGCCAGCGATATGACCGGCTATCGTAATGATGATGATAATGATGATGAGGACGACATTGTCGATCCCAATCATGTTGAGTATTTTCCGCGCGAGAAACGACACTCCTGGTGGAACATATTTGTGCCCGATAATTTCAAGAACAGGTTCGCTATATATATTCACGCATCAATCCTAACTCCATCATCTGATTGCTCTCTAACCCAAATAAAAATAAAATGTATGTTTAACAAACGCCTTGCCAGTGACTAAACTGCATCGTTCAGTTAGTGCCCTAAAAACTTTTTCGTTTCTCCCAGCCCGACTTCCAAGTGACTAATCTAAGCGTATACCCTGTAATTAATAGTGCTGCTCCAAGAATTTTCGCTCAGCGAAGCTAGTGAATTAACTATCAAGTTTTCACAACAATCATTCATTGTGTATGAGCATGTGTGTAATTATGTATGTACTCATATAATAGCAGCAAGTTTACGTACGCTAATCTATGTAAAATAAGGCCTTACTATGCGATTCTCAGCGATTCAAGTAAGTTTCTAAGGCATTTATGGAGTCATTTAAAGGCCTGTTTCTCACAATCTTAAGCAAGCTATCTATATATATATATTGTACTATATAAAATTTACTTACCACAGTGCCTTACTCTGCGATTCTCATGTAGACAATAAAGTCCTTTAGGCTGTAATTAAAAGTATTTTAAGATTCGCTATGGACAATCCTATAAAATTTGTTCTTTGAACATTAATTATTAAATAATTTTTTTTTTTTACATGTAGACGTATTTTTGTTAGATTTCTTTGAGCTTCCACCTGTTGACGATGCTTAATGTTGCGTCACTTTTATTGCGAGTTCTTGAGTGTGAAACACCTTGACTTTTGCTTTGTAAGCCGCTGTCTTTCAGGGTTAATTATCGCATTAGAAATAATAATTGTGCAGAAATGTTGCGTTGGATCGAAAAAGTGATGAGAATTCATTAGCGTAGCGCTCCCATTGACTGGCCATGACCTAGCCAAAAGTTATGAACTCCGATAACCCAACTAAGCCACAAAAACTGAACTGAACTGAACCCAAAAATTAGCTATTGTTGTACGTGTTTTTTTTTTTTCTCTATTTTTGTAATCTTTGAAAGCTCATTAAGATAATTATTTGTTAGGGGAAAAGCCTTGCCCGTTGGCAAATCCATTAGCTATCCATAGATATATATATAACATAAAAAGCCATGTTATCTCTTATCTGTTATTTTTAATTATATATTTACTCTGCTTTATATAAATATTTGTAATTTTCATGTGAATTTTTTGTTTGGCTTTATTTGCGTATTTTGCGCTTCCTTGAAATCAATTTGCTTTTGTTTGTTGATTTTGAATGCATTTATTTTTGTGCACATTTCATTTTCTTGAATTTCTGTTATCATCTCTTTATGATTACGATTTTTATGCCCTTGCAAGGGGTATTATAGGTTGCTTATAGAAGAAGCATTAATATGAAATGGAATGTAGATAGTGTGAAGGCCTTGTATGATAATCTCTGAAAATTAAAGCTATAAATTAGCTGTTAAAGTTATAAGAAAATACATTAATATAATGATAAAGAAAAGTTTGAATTGAATGCTTCATATTTTGTTTATATCAAAGGCTCAGAAATCTTTATCTTCTCTATCTTTTAAAAAACATCGACACAAATTTGGTGAGCTCCAAGATTCTCTTTTATAATCTCTAAAAGTGTGTTTAATCTTCGATGTGTCTTAATTATCAGCCTTTGTTTTTACGATTGTTCGATATATATTTATATGTATACATATATACGTTTTTCAATATGCATTTTAATTACTGCACAAATGTTGATTATTTCTTATTGTGATTTTATTCATCGACGACAGCAGCGCAAGCCTCGAGGCGGGAATTGTCATCTTTTTCTTATTCTTGAACCTGGAAATGTGAGCTTTATTATCGTTACTCTTCTTCTTCTTCTCTTTACTAATTGAGGCAACGCTCAAAGGGAAAGCAAAGCCAATTGCAATTTCAATTTTCTAAGATAAAGCTGTACAACGAACTCACCCACACCCGTACAGCTCCCTCTCTCTCTCCCCCTCTTCTTGCTAAATGAAGGTCAATTTTTGTTATTTAGCAATGCAAATTAGAGATTGTTGTCCAGCTCATAGAGCGCACAGCATTCACATATATATCTTAATCAATTGCAAGTGCCGCAATTCCCTTTTTAAAATACCCTCCGCCTGTTGGGCAGAACGCAGAACCTGAAGAAGCAATCAACAGCGAAACGAACAATTCAATGCGACTTGTAATAAAGAATTAATAAAGCTAACCAATTGGCGAATGAAATGTAAACAGTTTGCACAATTTCAATATGATATAACTGACCGACTTCTGCCGTAGTTCATATCTGGCCACGAGGCAGCACGTTTTATGGCACGCGATTGTAGAGACAGCAGTTCGATAAATGATTTTCAATTAAAATAACGGTAGATATAGTAAACCGATAGGGCAGGCTTATAATGGAATATCGAATTAATTAAAGATAAATTTTTAAGTAAAAATTCCGAATGGGTGTAATAAACATAGCTCATATAAAGCTTTAATACGTAAAGATAAATTTATATTTTCTATAATAAGACAACCTGTTGCTGAGTTAGAATAGGTAATAGATATGTGCCTCGTAAAATACCAACTAAAATACCTCATTAAAGGTTCTTCCAGCTGCATTGAATGGCTTCATAATTTATGTGCCCATGTCTAAAAATAAGCCTCTGCTACCTGTTACAAACAACTTTGCAAAATCTATATACCCCATTTATACGCTGTCAAAGCGTACAGGGCATAAGCACGAGCATAACCAACTAGTTCATTAAAAGAGTACTGTATTGAATGCCCCCACAAATTGTTTGCCCCATTGACGCTTCGATTACGCTATACACACACAGTCACACAAACACACACACACACAAGCACAGAGATGGAGAATTTACAAGTAGAATTTCCATACAATTTGCTCCCTTTGCTCTCGCCCCGTTGCCACTTGAAATTCTTAATTAAACGTTGGCCACACTGTCAAACAGCCTCCAGAGCGTAATCTCACGTGCCTAAATATTTGCACAGTTTGACGGGACGGCACGACGACTCTATAGCCTCTGGGGGCCCTCACGATGTCGTCAACAGCTCACATGCTCGTGTGCGTACACATTTGTACATAGATTTCTATGCGCATTCACATTCTCCAATAAGAATGCTTGCACACACACACACACACACACACACAGACATGCACATGCACAGAGAGATCTGCGCCTCCCCGCATTGAGCTCTGGGCCTGACTTTTGTCGGCTAATGTCCGTGCAGTAGCCGGTTAAATACAGCAACTATTTTGGCCAAATATTTAACAAACGTAAATACCTGACGCATGGCCAGCCACTTGGCTGGCAACTCGAGTCTAACTGCGGCATCAAGGTGATGCCCAAACACTTGAGTACACTGCACAACAAGGCAATGCAATGTAATGTGTGTTTGTCTCTGTGAAGGATCGCAAACGCAGCTGCAATTGGCAAATATCAATTGCAAGTGGCTGCTGTTTAGATAGTTTTGAATATTGTTTAAGCAGCGACATGTGGCAATCGAACAAATGTTAACATGCTCAACTAAAGCAGGCTAAAATAATGCACAGTCAAGTCAGGAGCAGGAGAGGAGGCATTTAATGGAATATGAATATGAACAGCAATTTGATTATTTGTAATCAAGCATTCTTGTAATTACGCAAATGTAAGCAATAGCTGACTTGATAGAGGGAAACTGGTTTTAATTGATCAAATGATGGCAAATATTCATCAATGATTAATGCAATTTACAGGTAATTACTTTAAAGCAAGGAAATGGGAGACAATATTTATATATGTAAACTAGAATCATTTGCTGTTGCTGGTCAAGGATATAATTGAGGAATGAAATGAAATGGGGAGCTGTTGGCTTAGCAAACAAATATAATATTCAAGTAAAGTCAAAGGGAGGATGTAGGATGTAGTTCAAAAGTGGCTTATGTATAGAGTAAAAGTGAGACATTTACAGCAATATACGAGTGTGTATAAGGAAGTTGGTATTTAAAAAACAATTCTTAAGACTTGCAGAAACATAATTTAAAAAAAAAATGGACTTAAAGCAGGGCATAGTCATCCCAGGTAAAGGTATAATTAAAAGCAAAAGAAAGAGAATGTAAAGTAATAGGAGGGACTAAAAGGTATCTCTACCAGAATTGATATTTCAATCATTTTACTATTATTTATGAATACATATAGTAAACCCCATGAGCACATATATATACACACAAATATAATATATGTACTTACACATACATATTCACTTATGTGCTATAGCAAATTAATTTTTATAAAACTTTCGTTCTAAAGGTAATTTTCAATGAAATTTTTAGAGCGTGATCATGACGAAAGTTTAGATGTGTGTGTATTTGCATGTACTGTACTCTATTATTTGAAATAGGTTTATTGCTAATTTGTTGGAAAAGAAGAGATATTTAACATGGCAGATATCACGGATAACTAGGCAACTGCACAGTAAATTTAAAATCTCTTATTCTTACATATATATAGTAAACCGTACATTTAAGATGAAATAGATTTGCATAAGCATAAACAAGGATAAACATAAACTGTAAGCTAATACGAGGCTTAACTAACAGGAGTTTGCCATTATTTAAAAGAACAATATAAATATGTCAAGTGACATAGAAACTATCTCAAGTAGTTTCTGCTAGACCTCTACAATATTATTGGACAATAACTGTAATTGAAATTTGTCAAGTTCCACTCAAGTGCATTTCACACTCTTTCGCATCAAGCTGTTAATGGGTCACCGAATGTACTGAATGGTCGGAAATCCATATCAATGTCACAAAAGCAATTCGTCTGTTTAACAACTGTTTAATAGAAACCTGAGATGTTCGCTTGCCCCCCATCGATTTGGCTTTATCAAGCGAATGATTCATTTCTTCATTTAGGAAGCACTTAAGGTGGCTTTTATCAACACAATGTGCAGTATTTCTAGTTGTCAGCGTGCACTTGAGTATGTCCAAATAACAAGTATATATGTATGTGCATATCTGACATGATGTATGTATGTATGTCTAT